TGTTTTTGATTCATGTTTGCTGTTTTTGATTCATGTTTGTTGTTTTGATTCATGTTTCTGATTTTGTTTGCTGTTTTTATTCATGTTTGTTGTTTTTTATTCATGTTTGTTGTTTCTGATTGCTCATTGGGGGTAAATTGGTCATTTTAACCAGTTCTGTCCTGTCCTGTCCTGTCTTACCAAACGCTGAACTCCTCTCCTGTCCTGTCCTGTCCTGTCCTGTCCTACCCTGTCCTGTCCTGTCCTGTCTGCGCACCAAACGCACCCTTATGTTCTGATTGTTATCAAGTGACTAAAATTAATATATATATATATATATATGTATATCATGTAACATAAACTTTAGTATCAATGGTTAACCTGCAATATATATAAGAAATGTTTTACCTTGAACTTAAGTTTGTTTAACTAGGGATTAAACAGATAAAATTTAAAAATCTATGAAACGACAGTGCTTATATTGATAATGTGTATGTACATAATTTAAATGGTTCTATCCAAGTCGAAACAAATAGATGAATAGATATTGTTAGCAACTTTTAAAATTAAATAATTAGTATGTAATTAATTAATGATTTAGCCACAGATCAAGGATAATGGAAGTAACAACTTTGCCGGTACAAGAATAACAAGCATGGTATATTCTGTTGTTTTATTCTAAAAATCACTTTTCCTTGCTTCCCGCCAAGCAAGCAAATGACATGAACCGACAACTAGTCAAATAAGTTGACCCGACATCCATAGACATGCCTTCATATGAGAGCAAGGTCGATATGTTGAAAGTGGGAGGCCATTAAGCTAATAAGCTAAGCCTTCTTCCATTTCGGAATACACTTGTTACATTCCATATAGCAAGCTTTATTCGACAAGGAATTGATTTTATTTATATAAAGCCCACGCTCTGAAAGGCCCTTGGATGGCTCTGTCGTAATCCAAATCAGAGAAAAGTTTCATTTCATTTAGGTTACAACAAAGTAACAATAATATTCACTATTAACCTCTCGATAGGTTACATTGACCTTTCCTTTTACTTGATACCCTATGCTATCAGAATTTCTCAAGGTTTTATTCTAGAATATAAATAATATATTTAAAACTAAATTAAAATATGTAATAGATCAACGAATAATCAACTGTAATTAAATTAAATGAAGGGATTTAATGAAGATTTAGAAAAGAAGAAGTGATGATTAATGTAAATGTTTAGTTCATATTTCAATATAATATTTGATTATTTAAAAAATGTTATGTGTTAATATTGTTGTTCTTTAATA